ACCCATGCTCCTTTGTGCTTATGTTAATGAAGGCAAGATCAAAGAAACGTGCCTGGCACTTGGAGCCGAAGATGGGGAGGTTTCTGATGGGGAGTTCACTCCACAGTCTCAGTTTAGCCACTGAGGAAAGAACGGTTACTTACCTTCTGTAACTGTTGTTCTTCGAGATGTGTTGTTCACGTCCATTATGCTTCCCACCCTCCTTCCCCTCTGTCGGAGTCTCCGGCAAGAAGGAACCGGAGGAGTCGGGTCGGCAGGGATATATATACCCTGGAGCGGGGCGCCGCTCTGGCGGGAAGGAGGGGGCCCTGCCGGCCCGACGGGAGCCGCTAAGGGAAAAAGTTTCCGACGTCCGTGCACGCGGCGCGCGTACACCTAATGTGTAATGGACGTGAACAACACATCTCGAAGAACAACAGTTACAGAAGGTAAGTAACCGTTCTTTCCTCAGTGGCTAGTCTGAGACTGTGGAGTGAACTCCCCATCAGAAACCTCCCCATCTTCGGCTCCAAGTGCCAGGCACGTTTCTTTGATCTTGCCTTCATTAACATAAGCACAAAGGAGCATGGGTATTTAAAACAATAACATTAAAAAAATCCAACAATACACTTAACTGCATGCACGTCTCATCCTGAGGAGATGCTGGGAGAACAAACACCACATGACAGAAGTTAGTCACGTTGATTAATGCACTGCTGGAAGGTGCTCCAATGCTATGGTGTTGAGTGCTGTATGAGAACACGTAGAGAAGAGAATTGAATGTGATGGAGCTGTGTTGCAGCCATGGTCTTTGCATGGCCAGAGCATAGTTACAACTGAGGGCCTGATGTTTCAGAGGTGTTGAACCCCCACAGGTCCAACTGCAATCAGTGGGAGCATGGGGCACTCATAGACTTTAAGGTCAGAAGGGACCATCATGATCATCTAGTCCGACCTCCTGCATATTGCAGGCTACAGAACCTCACCCACCCACTCCTGTAATAGACCTCCAACCTCTGGCTGAGTTAATGACATCCTCAAATCATGGTTTAAAGACTTGAAGTTATGGAGAATCCACCATTTACACTAGTTGAAACCTGCAAGTGACCCCAGGGTCTCTGCCAATCTGACCCAGGAGAAAATACCTTCCTGACCCCAAATATGGTGATCAGTTAGACCCTGAGCATGTGGGCAAGAGCCACCAGCCAGACACCTGGGAAAGAATTCTCTGTAGTAACTCAGGGCCTCCCCATCTAGTGTCCCTCAACCCATCTCGTAATCAGGCCCTACCTGTTTGGTCCTATCCACAGAGGCAAGACCAGACCATGATTCAATATGGTATCCAGACCCTATGCAGTCTAGTGTAGATGGGGCCCAAGGTGCTAAGTTAATGCCAAGTGGATCCAGGCAATAACATAATCATGGTTTCCCTTTTGTTCCTAGGCTCGGGAGGCAGTGAAGCAGGTGTTGTCCTCAACCAGCAACCTGAAACATTCAGCGTTGGAGCCAACGGAGGACACTAATCCTCAAGCCAGCCAATTAAAGGAGCTCATAAGAGGGAAGCCCATCTGCATGGAGAGAGAGACAGAGCAGTCTGAACAGCCAGCCAGCCCCAGGCCGCGAGGAACAGGGATGCTGAAAATAAACCAAGAGAGTTCACAGAGGCCTCCTGCTGGTTCTCCTGGCCTCACACAGCCCAGCTGGGTGGAACATCCACCTTGGAAAGAGGAGGGAGCAGGGCATTCCCTGAATTTCCCAGGCAAAGAGACCCAGCAAAGACCAACTCCAAGTGAGGAGAATGAGGAGCTAGCTACAGCTGGGTCAGCATTGAAGAAAGCAAGTAGTATGCCTGGAGGCAAAGCCCCGCTTAAACCACCTGCCTGCTGGAGTGGAATGGGGGAGGGTGAGAAGATTGCTCAGCCATTAACTGCAGAAACAGAGCCAGCTGGAAGCTGGTTAGGGGACAGCTTGTCCTGCACAGAGGTAGAGGAAAGCCCTGTGGAGCCCTCCCATGAGACCTCACAGCAAGCAGCCGGAGTGGTGGGTGGGATGTCCTGGGTGCCTAAACAGGCAGCTCCGGTCTCCACCCAAGTGAGTAAGGAAGACCTGTGTCCCGTTGCCATTGCAAAGGTCTCCGAGTCTCTGGAAGCACCAGGCTCAGCTTCCCCTTCTCCAGTCAAAGAAGCCCCTGCTGATGGGAAACAATCGGCAGCCCAGCTGCCAGGTGACGTGAAAAGAGAAATGGAGACTAGGAAAACAAATGAATCTGCACCAATGTTGGCTGCCACGCCTCACCGCGAGCGGTTTCCAGTCAGCACCGCCATGGAGCGCAGTGCCAAGCTGGCACCTGTGTCACTGACTCCTGAGAGTGGGGAGGAAAGTGAGCAGAGAGCTGTGACACCAGGCAAAGAGCCAGCGGCTGCAGCTGAGAAAAGCAGCATAACCTCTACAGGTACATCTGAACTGAAAACGGAGGCGCCACTTGCTCCGCGGGCTGAAGAGAGAACTCCGGATGGGGAGGTATCCCTGGAGCACAAAGTACAGCACAGAAACCTAGTGTCATCCTTGAAGAATTATTTACTTCTGCTTTTAAAAATGTCCTCATCGGAGCCAGATAAAAGTAAGGCCCCCATAAAGAAGGACACTGAGACTGAAGAGGAGGGGAGCCAGCCTGCTGGGGAGGAGAAAGCACTGCTGGAAGTGGGCATTGCAGGGCTAAGCCCCAGCACATCAAGGAAAATCTTAGAAAGGGTGCAAAATAACCAACTCTTCCAAAGTGCAGAGAGCTTGCATTTAAGCCCCAGAACGTCTAGAAGGCTCACAGGAATGATTAACCAAGAGTTAGTTACCAGCAAAGAGGCTCTGGGTATCAGTCCTTTAGCATGTAGGACACTGCCAGCTAGGGAGGCATCTGAACCAGAACGGTCTGCCCTGCTCTCTGTCCCTTCTATCGTGGTGGGTAACGTGGCCCTGGAGGGAACAGGCCAGGCAGACGATGGACTTTCTGATCTGCATCTCGAAAGCAGCACGAAGGAGAACTCCAGCGACCTGGTTGCAGCATTACCTTGTGCCACACCAGAGGAGCTTGCCTCCGGGGCTCGACGCAAGATATACTTGGCCAAAAGCAAGCAGCTGGAGGAGGCAGAGGCTGCAGCCTCGGAGAGCCAAGTGCATCTGAAGAGGGACAGCCCTACTGTGTCTCCCCGACAGTCCAGGAAGAACCCAGCTCTGTTACAAGCCCCTGTCCCAACTCTGTCTCCTCCTATGGACCGACACTCCCCAACCCTCCCCAGAAAGATGGCGACACTTGAAGTTCCTAAGGCGTACGAGGAGCCCTCAGAGGAAAGCAGTAGGACCCTGGAAGGCCCTGAAGGCACCAAGCAGGAAGGACAGGCAGGGGAGTCAAGGAAAACAAACAACCCATTTAAAGGTACAAAAAGCCTGAGAGGCGAGGGCAGCATGGGATACCCCCAGGTAGGAGAGACGCAGACACTCTCTCCCCCCCTGCATATGGCACACACTAACCCCCAGAGTTTGAGAGCCTGGGGGGGTTGCTGTGGGAGTACGTAGGACAGCAGCACGAAGCAGTGATAAGTCCTTGCAGTAGCAGGGAGCCAGCAGGACATCTGGGAATGGGTAACATGCAGAATGTGAAATCTCCGCAGGTTTCCAGACGTACCCATGGCTGTCCTTCCTTTGACATGGGTACAGGCCAGTCTGAAGGGGCATCTCCTGCTCCCGTTGAAGGCAGGTGAATGGAGAAGTCACACCAGGGTAAAGAACCGTGCCATTTCAGATACTGGTGTCCCCTTCTCTCAGCCCGGGTGGGGAAGGATCCACCTTCTTTTCTGTGGAGTTTGGAAAGCTGAGCAGTTCACATCCCCAAATCCTGAACAGTTATTAAGTAATTACCCGGGGCCCCCCGTTTAGAGTATGCATCCGGAACACAGACAGCACCGAGAGCAGGAGACACCCACAGCCAGCAACACTAGAGAGACAGGCTTTGCTGAGGCTTTCTAGGGTTAGGAGGAGCAGAGCCAGGATTAGGGTAAGGGCTGGGACCCAAGGATCTGCAGAACTCCCAAAGGAGAATCCGCTGTAAATCACATTGTAGCTCATTGTGAGGCTCCTGGAGTTAGAGTGACGATGCTGTGGTCACTTGAGTTACCAGAGATGAGACTTGCCCAATCTCTGTGTCATGAGGGATCTAGGTGTAACCCTTCGGCCAGGTGGAGCCAGCAACAACAAGGATCAGGTTCAGCATCTAGGGGTTCCTTTTCAACAATACAACACAAAACCGTCTCAAGTCCCCACCCAGTGACCTGGGGCAATTACACACCACCCCCTGGGCGCCTCTAAGAGGCAATACTTCCCCTCTCGCAAGCACAGAGTCTGAGTGTAGCAAAAACTTTTAATAAAAGGAGGGAAGTAACTCAGCATTAATTTGGGAAAACACCACAACTAGGGTTCATAAACACAAACCATGAGCAAAAAGACCCACCCGCAAGTAAGTTGGGCAGTGTCCTTTTCCCCCTGAGGGTCTTAAGTCCAGCAACCCAAAAGTCCCTTTAACATGCCCATCCCTTCTCTATACCCCACTCACAGTTGCTGTCCTTGACCAGAGCCCCAGAGTTCAGAGGTTCATCTGCAGAGTTCACCTCCCACCCTGTGTGGAAGGCGGGGCGGGGAGGGGGTAAGGAGGCACCTTACACACTGCACTGCTCAGGCACTCGCTCGTTGCCCCAACAGCCAATTGCCACGCCTCTGCAGGGCTCTGGTCTGGCCATCTCCACCAGCTTCTCTGCTGGCCACTCACCACGCCTCTCTGCCAGTCAGCCTGCTGGCCGCTTGCCATGCCTCTCCGCCAGCCACCCAGCCACTAAGATGTCTTCAGCCCCCCCTCCCTTATCACAGCTCTTAGTGATTTCAGCTGTTAGTGGGGGAATCTCACTGCTGGTGCATACTGGGCAGTCTCTTGCAAGAGAGACATCCTCCAAAGTAAATCTAATTTTTAGACCTAGGTATCAGTGATTTCAGCTCTGCAGTATGTAACAAGACTCTCAATTAAATCTAAATTAGCACTTTTATTATATCATGGAGAGAGACTAGAGCAAATGGTATCTACAATCCTTAAACAAGACCCAGACCACCCATTACTAATATCTGCCCCCACCTTCTCTTAATTCATTAGGCTTTGGAACCCATGTCCCCTGCCTAGCGAGTGTTGTTCAGTTGAGGGTGAGTCCCTCCATTGGGAAATGTCAGGTATAGTTCTGCTGCCCTCGGTTTACACACCAGGATAACAACCCTTTATTACTCCTGCCCCAATAACAAGGAGACTGTGGATCCAATACCAGCCACAACTGATCATTTGGACAAGCAATCCCATCATGCTGAGCACCTAGGCAGGGTGGGTGTGTCCATGCAAACAAGATCAGCTTCTGAAGTCTTTTTCCACAGCTCACCACTAGATGTCAGGGGAGAGCTCATCCAGACTTTGCTTACATCAGTGAAGGCCAAGTTATCTGAAAGCTTGTCTTGGTCTCTGCTGTGCTGCACACACAGAGGAAGCCTGGTTTAGGCTGCCTGATCTTTTCCCCCCACCCCTCCACATTAAAGATACAAACCTGATTATGCAGTAGGGGAGCATTGAACAGTCCATTTTACATATTTTAAAGTGTTGATTTCAAATTTCTGTTAAGGCCACCAAAACGAGCCGTTTGGTGCCGTTGGCCACCCAGTGCCGAGATCTGCCACCTGACAAGCTAAGCCAGATCAGGGTGGCTTGGAGGAGGATGGGAGATACTCACTACACTGGTGGTGCAGGAAGTGGTGGTGTAGACTCGTAGGTGGCGCTCCACCTTCGCGGTCAGTGCTGTTGGGGTCTCTGGGGGCACTGTGGGGTGGAAGAGACTAGCCTTCAGATGAGCTGTAAAACTGAAGATGTCTCCTTGGGGCCACTTGATATCCAAGGGCAAAAGCAGGTGTGTCCAGCACAAATTCCCACTCTGGTGAATGCCTTCTGCCTCCCTGAGTTCCCTCGGCACTTCAGGTTGGATCTGGCATTTTTCTTCATTTCCCATTGCTGTGAACAGCTGCTGTGCTGCATTCCTCCTTTTATATAGCTTGTATCTCAGTTTGTGTAGCACTTTGAGAGCCTGCCTGGTGAAAGCTGTGCTACGGGCGTATGGTAATCCCAGGGATTGGTAACAAGACTGAATGACCAAGGGCTAGTCTGTGGAGTGGAACTGATATATATGTTGTTGGTCTCACATCACTCCCTTCTCTGCACCTTTGTCCTTAGCCCCCCAGCTGATTCGTAAGATCAGAGCAGAACAATTTTCTGATGCATCAGGAAACCTGAAACTTTGGTGCCAGTTCTTCAATATTTTGAGTGACTCGAAGCTGACGTGGTACAAGGACGAGTTCCCTGTAGCAGAAGCCAGACGGAGGTAATCTGCCAGTTTTGCTGTATTTTACTCATGCATATCCTGTGGCTGATGTGTTAAATCTAGCCTTGCCCCTTGCATTTATCAGCTCTGACGGTGTATCCACACTGCAACTGGGACGTGTGACTGCAGCCTATGTAGACATACCCAAACTAGCTTTGATTTAGCAACAGCAAAGCCAGCTCCAGGAGCAATAGCGTGTAGTGCAAGTGGTGCAGGCTAGCGTCTGGAGTACAGCCCCGCCCAGGACTCTGGGTGTATACTTGATCAGCCACCGCCTGTGCTTCACTGCTATTGTTATTCAAGCTGGCTTTGATCTAGACAGATTTAAGCTAGTTGGGTCTGTCTATATGTGTAGCAGTCACACCTCTCGCCTACACCGTAGACCCACCCTGGTTATTTTGGAGTGAAGGTGCCCCCTGCTAACAAGTCCTAATATGGATCCCTGTGTATCAGTGAAGTACACCTGGCCATTAGCACAGAGGCCCCCGGGCTCTGGAGAGAGAGAGAGAGAAGCCAAGGTGGGACAGAAGGAACTAGAGAATCTGGTCATTATTAGCCACAGCAGACGCTAATGTTCAGAGCCCAGCTCCTAGGGCAGAGAGCGAGCAAGAAGACCATGCATCTCACTGAGGGAACATCTGCTCAGCCTGTAACAATGGTATGTCCTTCTGCACCGTGCATGGAAGGGACTAAGTCAAACAGAAGCAGGGTCTGCACTGTCTCTAGAACCCACATTCCCAACATCCTATAATGGAGATGCAGGGAGAGTTGGGAATCACTAATAAGGGCAGGGGAAAGCAGTCTGCCCCCCAGGCAATTGGACTCTGGGTTCAGCCACAGCACATGGTCGCCATGAAGAGTACAAGTGATGTTCTGACTTCACTGAGAGGGCCGGGCTTGGTGCCCCACCAGACCAGATGCTTCTCAGTAAGGAGCTGTGGCCCCTGTTGGTTACCCCCTTCCTGCACAAAAGTGAAATGCCTGCAAGCTGCATGGAAACTTTTTCAAGACATCATAACAAAGGCTCAAATTAAATGTATATCCCAGATTAAAAAATATAGAGAACCAAAAAAACTGCCACTGCAGCTAAACAACAAATTAAAAGAAGCAGTGAGAGGCAAAAAGGCATCCTTTAAAAAGTGGAAGTTAAGTCCTACTGAGGAAAATAGAGAGGAACATGAACTCTGGCAAGTCAAGTGTAAAACTATAATTAGGCAGGCCAAAAAAAGAATTTGAGAAGCAACAAGCAAAAGACTTTAAAAACTAACAGCAAAACAATTTTTAAGGACATCAGAAGCAGGAAGCCTGCCAAACAATCAGTGTGGCCACTGGACAATTGAGATGCTAAAAGCACTCAAGGAAGACATGGCCATTGCAGAGAAGCTAAATGAATTCTTTGCATCTGTCTTCACTGCAGAGAATGTGAGGAAGATTCCCACCTTTGTCCCCTAAAAAAAGGATTCAAATCTGAGAAACTGTCCTCCTGCCAGCTTGCTGGAGGTCAAGGGGACTGTTGGGGGAAGCGGGTGGTGTCTCTTTTCCTTTTCATTCTCCCCAAGTACAATCTACAGGAAACCGTAATCATCCCATAGCTCCTGAGTGTCGGGAAGCAGTGAGGTGGCTTCCTGAGACCCCCTGGGTTGTGTCTCGCTGGATCACACGGGATGATCCCTTTCCCAACGTGCTGCATACTTCACTCCTGGTAGCATTCGCCTGGCTTTCAGTTCACATGCACCCACTGCAGGGCTGAAGTCAGACTGAAAGCTCTGTGGGTCAGGGCCTGTCCTTTCATTGGATGGGTGGGTATGTACAGCTCCTCACACAGTAGGGCTGTGGTCCGCAGCTGGGGCTCATAGGCCCTACCACAATACAGATACTAGAGGGCTGCCCAGCACTAATCTCCAGGCTGACTCCATTGTCTTTCAGCTCAGGTGATGAGGGGCAGGCAGCCCTGGCCATTGTGCAGGCATCCCGGAAGGACTGTGGCGTGTACCAGTGCACCATCGAGAATGAGTATGGCACCGACTCCACCGACTTCCTGCTCAGTGCAGAAGGTGAGGTGGGTTGGATATGGGGCGTGGGGGGGCGGGTTGGTTACTGGACATCGGGGGGGGGCAGAGGAATGAGTTGGATACTGGGTGATGGGAGGCAGGAGGGGGGGCAGGTTGGATATCAGGCAGTTGAGGGGGCAGAGAGATCAGGAGTGGGCAGTGGCTATTGTGTATTGTGTGATAGGTTGGACAGGAAGTGGGAGAGGGGGGTGAGCTGGGTACCAGGTGATGGGGGGCAGGGGAGTGAGGGGGTGAGTTGCATACTGGTCAATGAGGTGGGGGACAGGAGAGCAGGACTGGGAGGGGTACTGGGTGACAGTGGTGGGGAGGCGGGTTGGGTAACTGGTAACCGGGGGGCCAGAGGAGCAGGGGGCAGGTTGGGTACTGGGTGATGGGGGGATCAGGGGCGCTGGGTGCAAGTTGGGTGATGGGAGGCCAGGGATGCAGGGGGCGGGTTGGGTACTGAGTGACGGGGGACAGGGGCGCAGGGGGTGGGTACTGGGTGACGGGGGACCAGAGGTGCAGGGGACGAGTTGGGTATTGGGTGATGGGGAAATGGGGGCAGGTGGGGTATGGGGGGCTGGAGGCACCGGGGGTACCCGGCTGCGCAGGCTGGGAGCAGCTCTCTAGCTGTGGGAGCCGAGAGGTTACGATTCCAAGCTCCTCCTGAGGGTAATGTGAGCAACTCTTGGCCTGCGGTAAAGAGCCTTCTCCATGCTCCATCACCCAGTGATCTGAACCTGGGGCAGGGAATGAATCCGGCCCCGTGCCGAGAGTCCCTCCAATGGCTGGGCCTTGGCCTGTTCTCCTGAAGGGTAGTAGCTGGCCTGTCTGCTGGTCTCTCTGACAAGGCGGTCCTGGGCCTAGGGGCCCTATCCCACCGCTCCTCCCTCCGGTGTCTGGCCCGACTGCAAACAGGGCCCCGAGAGCGAGGGCGCAGCAGGGCCCAGCGTTCGGTGTAGTTACTGTGTCACACCGGTGCAGGCGTGTGCAGGCACTGCCAGGGCACTTTCCGGTCTGGGTGTCCCTGGGGGGGGCAGGGAGGGGGCTGTGATGAACAGCTGATAGTTAGGCCCAGCCACCTCAGGGCACTAACAGCCAGGGCTCTGTTTCTCCTCTAGTGCTGTCGGGATTTGTCTCCAGAGAAGAAATTGAAGGTAAAGTGGGAGCAGCCAGAGGAGCAGTGAGTGCTGGCCAGTCCATGACTGCTGGGCTCAGAGTAAATCCAGTGCCCTCTCTCTGCACGTGTTGATGCTGCACCCGGGGTGGGGCAGGGTGCCCAGTGGGAGGGGTGACCACAAAGCGCGGCATGGCCGGATCCTGCCATTCCTCCCTAACTAGGGTTACCATATTTTGTGCCTCCAAATGGAGGACACTCCACGGCCCCCGGCCCCGCCCCCAGCC